ATGTTAACTGCTCTTTCAAATACGTCTCCCGATGGGAGACGCTGTTAGTCAGAATGCTCCTATGCGGCGCATAACAGATGAAGTCAGGCGATGGTGGTGGGATTCGAACCCATGGCCTCGTGATCGATAAGTTAGGTATTTTCACTAATCGATCACCACCGCCGAGGCGGTCACGCGAATATATCGGATTTCAATGATCGCATGAGCTATTTGCAACCACTTCAATTAGACAACTCATCCATCAAAACAAATGGTATATTTGGCCTTCTATTCTGGTTGAAAAACAACTTAAAGCTGTCATAACTTGGTTATTGGATGCGGTTTCTATGGGAACGAACTAACTGAAGGCTGACAGAAATAATTAAACAAAAAAACCGACTGTTGCATGTGTATCTCTAAGCGCGAATCCGGCGTTTTTTAGTTCCATCGTATAATTTGGCACGTGCTTCTCTCTCCCTCTTGAAGGCTGGGGGTGGTGGCGCAGGCGTTTGGTCGCTGTCATGGTGTGCTTTGGACCCTGTGGTTCGGGGTTCGAGTCCCGCTACCGCCACTTAACTTTGGTGGTGGGCAGCTTTGCTCTCGTCCGGTTCAGTACCACGCCTAACTTAGCGAGGTCTTATGTAGTTCATCCTGGGGCTTGGGTTACCGGTTTCCATCACTGAACACCAAGTCCGCATGAATAAGGGGCTTTCCCCGTCATCACACTAAGTTATGTAATAAAAAAATATCGGGACAAACTTTTCACCGCAGAAGAAACGAAAATGTACGAAGAGGTTGCAACGGTGGAGACAAAACTTAGTTCCTTGTGAATTCCCCCGCCTGGGGCCCTCGGATCGTTGGCCCCCTTTTGTAAGTTGGTATGTTGATCTATCCGGAGACTAAACAACTGGTAACGTTGTAGTTTTTGGTCGACTAAGTCGCATTTTCAGTTTGTTCGACCATTGACCAGGGCCCTTTCATGCGCTGGTTTTGATTACTGTCTTTTGGTTGCCCATTTGGATAAAGCAATAGGACAAAGACGGGACAGTTGAAAGTAGAATCGAAGAGGAAATGAGCAATTTCAGTGTACGGGAGTTGCAAGGAAATTGAGACGATACACGAACGCCATTATTTATGACACTCAGTCTTTAACCTCCGGTTACAATGATCCCGACTTAAAGTCCAAATTGAACTCGAACTTTGGAATTTCAGTTCCCTTGAATTGTTTATATACAGGAACATTGAAAGTGAAAACTGGAGAGTACTACCTACTTGCGTGTTTCAGTTTTGGTTACATTGATTGACTATTGAATATGGCACCCATACCCACACACCTCATCTGATCTCCTCTCCGTGTTCTCATCTGCACTTCGGTTCGTCCCTGTGGCATTTCTTCTTATTGTCACTGGTTAATCTGATGGCCACGTTTTCTTGTTTGTGTGTATGATTCGATTTTGGAATGCAGAATTCGCATCCGATCGTGGTCGATGTTGTAAAACGTGAAAAAATCCCTCAGAACGTTCTCATAGTCGATCGGGATTTGTGCAAGGTCAGGAACGATAGAGTCATTCCAAACACATACAGAGATTGATGTGACAATGAGTAGTGCCACTCCAATTACGATCACCGTGTGACGAGGAAGAGTTCAATCGGAACGAAACGGACGGCCTCAAGTCCTGCGCGTGTTATTTGCGTTCCTCGTGTTTAACTGCACTCCACACTGTGCTCTCAACCCCCCCCCCCCTCGGTGCTAGGGCATGCGGACCTCGGCACTGAACCCTACGAGGCCGATACTGGCAAATCACACTAGGTGCAATGCGAACGTACACTCCGGGCTCTGACCGCGCAGTAGAGTGAACGCGAAGATGCGCGACAGGATGTCCCTCGGCTCGTGTTCTCGCAGCCGGAGCCGTACGAGGCTTTGTGGGCAACGAACAACGACGCTGGGGAGGCGGGACACGGGGTGGTGAGGGGATACTGGCAGACAGGTCATCCGTTGGTCGGAATTAAAGATAAATATGCAAGGCGCAAAGTGAACAAACGCCATGAACCAGAACGGTCCAGTGAGATACAAACACTCACGATAAGGTATTACTGGCCGTGGTTGCCAAGCCTTTCAAAGCCCCTATACGATAAGCGCGGTACTAAACTCAACACATTTGTCTGAGTCCGAACTATGGGCCTAACTAGTCACGATAAAACTGTTCTGAACAAAAGGAACTATACCATCTTAAGTTCGATTTGAGAAACTATAATTTTCATTTGCACAACCATCATTTTGAATTGAGAAAGAAACACTGTGGTTGAATCCGCTTCCGTTTAGCGCACCGCATTGACCACTCGTCTTCCCACGCTCTTTCTTTGTCGAAATGAGGCAGGCCTCAGGTGCTAACCGCAACCTTGTGAAAAAAATGTCCACTGTATCTTAATGCCATTTGTCGATGTGTCTTACGCAACAATCCTTTTTCTGAAAACGAGTTACCCTTTTTACCTAACAGATCGATTGTGTTCTGTTTCGTTCAGTTCCGTGGGCTGAGCCACGAATGGACGAGGTACACTCAAGGTGGTTTTGGTCGCTAGGGC